CTGCTCGTCAGCTTCTCCTCGGGGAGGAGAGCTCACCGGACGATCGGAGGTTGATGTGCCGGGCCAAGCATTCTTAACAAAGGTTGGTCATCTACACAACTTTCCTTCTTCATTCTTCTGACAGTGCTATTAGCTTGCTGAAGAAAAAATGGGAGCCGATTTCCCGCTCTTAACGTAATTTATACGGACTGGGTGGGGCCCACACAGCAGGTGGGCGTGGACTAAATTTTTCAGTGCAATGCTTTGCATATCGGGATAAACCCATCAGCAACAGCCTTAAAGTGCAAAGCTTATACGAAATAGAACAGCAGCTCCAGCTCTCTGACGCAGCTGCGCATAATTCAGTCTGAGTGCTGCCGAGTTTCGACACATACACACGAATTTGAAGACAATCCAGAATTCACCAGCCAAACAGCAAAAAACCAGTTGTCATCATGAATCCAATTTGTTTCCGTCAAGGTAAGAGGGTCCTCCTTACCCTGACTCAGTCCTTCTCAAATAGTGGAGCAGTATGTGACCCCGAGGAACATTTTGTGGCAGGGAGTAGTTTTTTTTTGCACCATTCTCATTTTGTTAGGGTGCTTTCGGCAACTGTTTGCTAAAATCCGGCAACTCTCAGTCTTAATAATAATAAAGTTATGAACAAATATGTCTGTCTTGTCGTTTGAAGAGCCATGCTTGAACCATATCGCTTCCCTCTGCTGCTGAGCAGCTGGTGACGCTCATCACCCACAGCATGCGTTACCTGCCCCTCTTCCTCTTTCACTTTAACATTTTTTTTGTTTGTTTGTTTTTTGGTTTGTCCAAGCACAATTTTGATGTTTTTTAATACAGAACAGGACTAAATTCTTTGCTAACAAATCCTCCGCTCTGGACACAATTCACCCACAGCGCGCATGCGTAGGTATTGATTACCTTGAGATTGATTCTTTCTGTGCAGCCTTGACACCAACTCCTGTGGAATTACAGGAGAAAGAGGTAATTTCAATTTTTCAGAACATCAATCCTCATAAAGCAGCTGGGCCAGACGGGATTAAGGGAAGGGTATTAAAAGAATGTGCCACACAGCTGGGTCCTGTGTTCAAACAGATATTTGAGTTGTTCCTTAACACTGGCTTTGTCCCACAAGCATGGAACATGTCAACTATTGTCCCGGTGCCCAAAATAACACATTTAAAGGCACTGATTGCCCTCACATCTGTATTATGCAAATGTATGGAGCGCTTAGTGAGCAGGGAACTCATGTCTGTTACAGCTGAGCATATGGACCCTTTGCAGTTTGCCTATAGGACTAACCAAGGGGTGGAGGATGCCACTCTTTCCCTCCAACAAGGTCCATAATCATTTAGACAACCCAAAGACATATGTTCGCATATTATTCATGGACTTTTCATCAGCTTTTAATACGGTTCAGCCACATATACTTTTAAAACGCCTGTGTGATCTAAATGTCAGCAGCCATCTTGTGTTGTGGATTAACAATTTTTTAAGAGGAAGACCCCAGCGAGTTTGTGTTGATAACACTCTGTCTGACTGTAGGGTCTTGAACACTGGTGTTCCACAGGGTTGCGTGCCATCGCCTCTTTTATTCCCTATATACACAAATGAGTTGCAACATAACAGTAAAGATTTCACATTAATTAAGTATGCAGATGACATTTTTCATTCATTCATTCATTCAACCTTTATTTAAACAGATAAATCACATTGAGCCTCGACAACTCATTTACAAGTGAGACCTGTTTGGACAGACAAAAACAGTGGTTAACTGGACACATGTAGGAGTTGGAGGCGAAAAAAAATTCCTAACAGACTTTTTTCTTGGCTGAGAAAAACCCCTAAGATTGAAAAAAAACACCTCGCACAAACAAGCACATATTTACGTAGACATTCTGCAATAGAGAAGAGCAGGAAGAAGGAAGAGACGAGAGCGGTCAACAAGGCCTACAGATGCTCTCGAGGTCCCTGTAATCAGTCAATGTCCTCCGGTGAGATCCATAAACATTCTCGAGGTATGACGAGGAATGGCCAAGAATAACCCCTGAGTATCCAGAGTCCTGAAATGATGACAAAGTTTTTTCAGCGGGGTTTCATCTGGTTATCAGTTGGAAATCCTCAGGGAGGGGGGTGGTGAGCGTCAGATCACATTTTCTCCAGGCAAAATTCAGATAAGGTGACCTTCAAGGACACCAAGGCGACCAAAATTTAGATAAACACACAGTTGTTTTGGGGACAGGCAGAACTTAATGACATCTGCCTTGAGTCTGTGTTTGGTCCACTCGGTTCCGAAATGTCCAAAATAACATGACCACACCGATGGAACATGTCTGAATAAAAATCCCCAAGATCTGATCCATTCAACCCAAAGCATTTGAGTCCGGGTACTCGAGACATGAAACCAAACCATCATAAAGGCAAGCAGCATGATCGGGTCCAAATTTGCTGCTGATGACTTCCTTGATTGTAGATAAAAACCAGGACCAGCTGAATCCAAAAAGCAGGAACCGGTTATCGTGAATCCAATTAAATATGCGTCCTTAAAATCCACAGATGGCAGCAGAGCACACATCATCAAGTCTTCCAGTCGATGAGATATCCAGCTGCGTTCGTGCCAACAGGGTAAATCGGCTCGCCTAAAGCCTGTCTTCTCTTGAAGAAATGTTGTAAATTGAGTTGAGGGACCAACTGGTCAGAACAAGTCCATAATTATGGTTCGGAAGAAATGCAAGAGAGTCTCGAGAGTCTCAGAAGTAGTTTCACAGACAGACAGAGCAGCAAAGCGGAGAGGGAGGGAGGGAAGCATCCGATCTCAGCTTGAGCAAGTGGTGAAGTGACATTGACCTAGTTGCTGGTCTGAAAGACACCAACAGTCCCTCCTACTCCCAGCTCATAGACCAGCTCTCTGACTGGTTTGATGACAGTTTTCTGGCCCTTAATGTCAGTAAAACCAAGGAACTTTGTTTGGGAGGTAGATGGGGAGCAGTCAGCACCAGACCTACATTTAGGCCTTCTATTATAAAAGGGCAGGAAGTAGAGCAGGTGACTGATTTTAAATACCTTGGAACAATAATTGACAACAAGTTGACCTTTGAGCCCAACACTGACTATATTTACAAAAAAGCCAGACAGCATCTCCACCTTCTGTATAAGCTAAGAGCTTTAATGCAAGCAAAATTACTTTGCAGTTGGTGTACAGGTCACTGGTTGAAAGTGTTGTTTCATTTAATATTGTCTCATGGTATGGGAACCTCCCAGCCAGAGACAGGAACAAGTTGTCCCAGGTGGTCAAACAAGGTAGTAAAGTCATTGGTCATCAACAAATGACACTTACAGACCTGTACAGTCAGGTTCTGGAAAAAAAAGGCAATCCAGGTTTACAATGACCCAACTCATCCACTGCAACCATCATTCAGGTTGGTACCATCTGGTAGAAGACTGCTGGTTCCTTTAGCAAAGAAAAATGGGTACAAAGAGTCATTTTTTCCGTCTGCGGTGAATGTATTTAACAAGTACTTAACAAGTACTTAACAAGGTCCAGCAAACCACTGTCTGCTTGAATGTTTCCATATTTTAATGTATTGTGTATTTTAGAATGTTTTTAATTGAATGTTTTTAATTGATTTAGCAAAGCTTGGTTTTAAAGTTTTTAAAAGTTTTTTAATCACATTTTTATTGTTTTAATAAGCCGGATGTCAAAGACAAATCTCCATTTCATTAAATGTTATGGTCAGTAAAGTTGAATTGATTGATTGATTGATTGATCACATTCATACACCGATGGGACACACAACGGAGGCAACAAGGGGTTCAGTGTCTTGCCCAGGGACCCTTCGGCATGTGACTGCTGGTGGATTCGAACCCCCAACTCTTGCAATGGAGGACAACTGCTCTGACCACTCAGCTGCAGGCGCCCCTATTATAATATTCTAACTATAATATTATAATAACTATAACTATAATATAATAACTATAATATTATAATAACTATAATATCAATAATATTATAATAACTATAATATCCATAATATTATAATAACTATAATAATCCACTGACTCTTGTTAATAAACAAGAAATCTTATATCTTCCGTTCTTTGAAATACGTTTTTAAATGGTGTCAAACTGATTTGCTTACAAAATCATCCATCCATCCATCTATTATCTTTACCCGTTTATTCCATTTTGGGTCACGGGGGTCGCCGGTGCCCATGTCCAGCAATACCAGTGCGAGGGGCGGGGTACACCCTGGACGGGTCGCAAGTCCATCACAGGGCCACATAGAGACAAACGAGACAAACAACCATTCACTTTCTCACTCACACCTAGGGACAATTTAGAGTTACCAGTCAGCCTAACATGCATGTTTTTGGTCTGCGGGAGGAAACCGGAGCACCCGGAGAAAACCCACGCATGCACGGAGAGAACATGCAAACTCCACCCAGAAAGGCCCCTGGACCGGGGTTTGAACCAGGGACCTGCTCGCTGAGAGGCAGCAGCTCTACCAGTTGCGCCACCGTGCTGCCTCGCTTACAAAATCAGTAAAAGCTTAATTAAAAAAATGTCTGGGTTTTATTTGGGTTCGGGTCTGTAATCACAATTAATAAGTCAGTTTCGGGTCAGGCTCGGAAAAAATGATACAGGTTCGGGCCAGGCCGTGTCGGATTTTTTAGGCCTGAATGCAACTCTAACGAGGTTCCAGTTGTCAGCAGTGAAAACACAAAAATGAATTTGTCAAAGATTAGACATGTGCTGCAGCTTCCCCTGCCCACCCACACACTCTCGTTACAAGATTTTCAAACACATTCAAATAAAATAGAGAAATTGCATTTTCTGCAAAAAAGCAGAAAGAAGTTAGAAGCACAAAAAATTTCTAGTTAGCAAAAATAATCTGAAAGGAGCACAAAACTGCTAAAAAAAAAACTGCAGAAATTAGCTGAAAGTAGCTAAAAAGGTTTAAATTGGAACAAGGTGATGGGCTAATGGGCCTGCAGGGGGGCCTTACCTTAATGAGTTCATAGATGTTGGCTGGGTCACATGTGGTAAGGCTGCTGAGGATGATCAGGACCTCTCTGCTCGTGTGTCCTGGCATGTGCCTTCATTAAAACAGAATTATGTCACTGATTTCAGAAGCCAGTCAGAAACCAGTCAGTTCTGAGCTCACCTGAGTGTCTGTAAGGCCAGGCTCAGTGAGTTGTACAGAGATGGTTCTCCCACACACGAGGTGTCCACGGCTTTCTTCAGAGCAGATATGTGCTTCTTAGGATTCCCTGTTGAAATCAAACTAAATGAGACTCAACGCAGCAGACTAAAGCTGAGTGAAGACCTGTGAGGGTTAAGGTCCCATCAAGAGTTACCACAGATAAAATCAGCTACAAACAGAGGCGGACTGGCCATCGGGAGCGCCGGGACAATTCCCGGTGGCCTGGTTGCCGAGGAACGGGACTAAAGGCTCGGTTCGGGTCGCACGGACTTTATTATTTTAAATAAACAATTCACTTTTGCCTGGGCTCAGGTCTCACGCTGCACTGCAGCGACGGAGAAAGCCTGGCACATCCCCCGGCCGGGCCGGCCCCCTCCCTTCCTTTTCTGTGTGTCACTCACAGAGCAGACGAGAAGGGGGTCTCTGCAGACCAAAAGTGGGCGTTTCTGGCGAGTAGGCGTTTATGGGCGGCGAACACTGATTGGCTAACAGTATTTAATAGGCGTTTGTCGGCGGCGAACACTGATTGGCTGTGGGTAACCCTTAAAGTCACGAGGATTATTAATGAGGTAACGTTTCTTTGCGATGTTTGACAAAGAAATATGATTTATTGTACTTATAAAGTATGTTATGTTTTCACTTATGCATTTTATTGAAGTACGTTTATTGTAGGTCACGATAGTTTCGACCGTTCTCTCGTTGTTGTCGTAACGCACTGAGGTAAAGTGAGCCTCCACAGCAGCTCTCACTGTGCACGTTTACAACAACTGGGTGTTGCTTTTCAAAATAAAAGCTGAAAATAAAAGTTCTTAATACTTGAAAAATAAATATTTAAAAGCTGAGTATAACTGAAAAATATGAAAAACAAATAAATAATAGTTGTTATTAGCTGAAAAATAAATAAATAAAAGCTGTTAATTATATCTATGTCTTTCTGCCATGTCAGGAACCACTCTCACTTCAAACTGACTCTAGAAGACCCCAAGATGTTGCTCAACAATGTTGACCAACATCTGATGTTGACTTTCAAAATAAATCACCTCCAAAGTTTAACATAGTTCATAGTAATAGTCAAAAGTTGCTGATCTTGTTGCAACATGAGTTAACACAAACATGAGTGTAAATTGTCAATGATTCAATAATGAGTAATAACTTATTCAATAAAAAGTCTGTAATTTGTCAATAATAGTCAATAATTCATTCAAGAATAGATTATGGGTGTTTGGTATGGCTCAGTGGCTAAAATGGGTTGGATGTTAGAGAAATTACTTAATTTTCAATTACCTGAATGCACAAATTCCTTCATTTATAGTTAAACTTTAGGAAATCAACTTTTTTTTTCCTTGTGAAAAAAATATCAAAATTAACTTTAAAATCCAATCCAGGATTAAGTAACAACTAGCAACACTCTAACTGTACTATGTTCTGTGTTTCCAACAGATGCTACGATGACTTCTAAAAATGGATGTCCCAATAAACACAATAAAAAAAATTCAATGATGCATCAAATGTTGTCTGAGTATGTTTGAAGGTAATAAAAAAATGTGAAATCTGGAAAACAAAGAGAATTCCTGAATCTGTCTTGTGTGCTTTGATGTGTACATAAGTTTATTGGAGGTCCTGAAACAACTTTTCTGAGAACACAAAGATTTTTATTGTACCTTTGGCCAAGATGTCAGTTTGAAATCAGGCTGCTTACTGCAAAACCAAGAGGGTTTTTAAGACAGACAGTCTTCATTTGTATTGTTTTGTCGACTAAGCTAAATGTAATTTCTAAAATATGGATAAATCTGATCTCATCATGCAGCATAAGCAACTGGGTACAGGTGTGAGGGCCAAAAGTCTGGTTATGTACTGACTCCTAAATGTGCTGGTTTTCTACTGAAACATGGAGTAGGGTTGACCTTTAAAATGTGAGACAGCTGAGGAAGTTAACCAGTAAACAGAAATACCTGCTCCAGTTGCAGAAATCTTACAGAAACTGACAATCACTCATCTGCAGTGACTGCAGGTTGAACAAGAAAATGTGAAGTTAAAGGAAACATCCTTTGTCCCAAGGCCAGTTTAAGTATCGTTAATATTTTTCTTTCTTTATGAATCGATTGTAACTTTGTTCACATTTTTCAACAACCAAAATGGAATTTGTTTTTTTAATGTTATAGCTAGGTATTAAAAAAAAACCTAACATTTAGCTCTCCCCACTACCCAGTTATGTTGCTCTTATTTTGAAATGTAACCGGAAGTTCTGTGTTAAGAGAGTCGAAAAAAGAAGTTATGGAGACGCCGCGGCAGTATACTGGAGCAATGTCGAACCGAGACGCCGCTAATGTCGAACCGGTTAACACCATAGACATAATATGCCTGTGGTTAACACAATCTGCCAATAACGCCTTGTTTTTAGACATCATGTGTCTGTGGTTACGGCATTTTATCGTTCAGCCTTTTTTTTTCTATCGTTCAGCCTTTTTTTTTCTATCGTCCAATCAGATGTGGCCGTCCAGACACGCCCATTTTTCTATCGTCCAATCAGATGTGGCCGTCCAGACACGCCCATTTTTCTATCGTCCAATCAGATCCGGCCGGCCAGAAACGCCCATTTTCCTATCGTCCAATCAGATATGACCGCCCAGATACGCCCACTTTCCTATAGTCCAATCAGATATGAGCGCCCAGATACGCCTTCCGAATTTGCCTGCAGAGACCCCTTCTTGGAGCAGACACACACACACACACATTGCGCCCGCCCCCCTCCCCGCCCTAGGACTCGCGCTCCCGATGGTGTTGGCGCGCGGTGCGTGCATCTCTGAGTTGTAGAATGGAGCAACAGAGAGCCAAAGAAGAGGAAAGGTGGAGCAGAGAGAGAGGATAAAAAAGAGAAAAGCTCTGGCCGCGGATGCTGCTAAGTGCTATAAATTAATGTTTGTTCGTAATGGAGCAGGTAAGAGAAACACTTGTGTTGAAAAAATTGAACTCTGGCACAGTTTATCAGCACAGCTTAATATCCACATGCTAGCTTCACTTTGAGGGACCGAAGTGGGCCAAAACTGACTTAATATAACAAATGTTTTTAAGTTTTTACAAAGAATATTGCAAATTTTATAATATGGGTTAGGATCTGAAAAAAGTTTAATGTTGAAATGTCTAGGAATTCAGATTTTTTTGTATCTAAAAAAGTTAAGTCAGGTCCTCTGGACAAATAAAAAAAAAAACTTGTTGAAACTTTTGTCTTTAATCCAAAAAACTAAGTTCAGTCTGAGGAGTTGCAACAAGCTCAGTTTCAAATAGCCTCTTCTCATAGTGGATCAACCAGTTTGTTGTTAACATCCAGAACTAGCTGTTAACATAAGGAAGACCTGCAGCCTAACAACCCCTAACAATGGTTTCTTTTCACAAAGATGGCTTCCTTTACTCCTCTCTCAAACCATAGTTCCTCTCTATCAAGGATGTGCACATCTTCATCCCTGAAAGTGACTGCTGGCCTGCAGATGAGTGTAAAC